TTACTTAGAATTTTTCATGGTGTCTAGAAAGATTTTTTGACACAACTTTGGGACACTTTTCCACATAATTCTAAACACCATTTCAACTTTCCATTAACATGAAATTTTCCCCATTCATTCCCTACTTTTCATTGATCCAAAAATCTCATCATTTGGAGCCATAACCATTTATTTATGATGATTCGAAATGGGCAATGTTAAGTTGTTTCAAGATACATTTTGGTATGTTTCTTGGCACTCTTCTTGACTTGATCATGCACCCCTTTTTCCTTGCCATTTCATACGCATCATGTGCCAAGATTATGTCCAAAACATTTCTTGAAAAATGCCCACATGCTTTTACCATTCATGTACCTTTTTCACATTTTTACCAAAAGAAGCAAATTGAAACTTACTCACCAAGGAGAATGTTTCCACTCTCTCCATTCTGTTTGCCAAAAGGACAATCAAAATCACCACCATACACATCACATGGGATCAAATTCGTGTCATGCTCATCATCCACCATTCATCATCGTTTTTGTCAAAATCACTAACCAACTGTTTTCACCACAGTAACAGGCTTTTAACCACACAAAGCCCTAGTATATAACCTTACTAAACCCTAGTAGGCAGCCACACTCTTCATTCTGCTCAGAAAAAAAAAAAACTAAGCTCTCACTCTCTCATTTTTCTCTTCCTTCGAAGCTTACTTTTCAAGAGGTCTCTTTGCATTTCTAAGCCATATTTGTCATCCTCAAAGGGTGTCAAAGCATTTGGTGAAGTTTTCCTCAAGTTTCTGCATGATTTGAAGGTGCAGTGGACACTCTCCACTAGGTAACTTTCATGATCTGATTCCTCTCATTTTAGACACATGTTAGGTTCATATTGTGTACATCTGAAGTCCTACTCACGGTAGGCAATGTTTGCATAGCTTGTTGTGTCGTTTTGATGAGTTTCAGTATGTGTTCAAAACTTTCTTCCTTCGATTCATCATGAAAACGTGCTTATTTGAGAAAACTAAGGTTGGATTTGGAATAAGCATGAAATTCTGAGTGGAGGGCTGGTGGTTGTTTCCGTTTCTGGAGATTTTGGGGTGGTTCCAGTGAGGGGTTGGCTGGAGAAGATGACCGGAGCTAGGGCTCCGGCATCTGAAGGTTGGAGAAAAGCTGATGTGGCCTTGGCGCACCATTTTCAAATTCAAATGATATTGCGTGTTTTATTATGATTTGCCTGTATTGTTGATTGTGTGCCACCTCAATTAATGAGGGTGACATGGCATCCACGCAGGCTATTTTTTGGTACTGACTTGTTTTATAAACTGAACTGGGCCTAGCACACTTGTTATAAACGCCCCCCATATTTCAGCCCAACGCACTTTAGCGCATGATCTATGTTCTTTTCTTTTTTGCCGATGCACCCTCATTTCTTTATTCTTTCTTTTTATTTTATTTTTGTTCTATTTTGTATTTTATTTTATTTTTAATTGTTTCAACCATTTTAAAAATACACAAAAATATGTTTCTTATTTTTTAGTGTCTTGTGATATTTTTCATATTTTTTATTTTATTTTTCCATTTATTTTACTATTTTATTTTGAATTTAATTTAAGAGGTGTTTGACATGTTTACCCTTGAATTACGGTTTGTTGCTTGATGGCTTTTGAAGCACTTTTAGACCCAATATTTTTACTTTGTTTTGGAATATGATTGATGATTTTTTGAGTTTGTTTTTGATGCCTTGTTAGTCATTTATTGTTTATTTTTCATGTGGTTTCATTTGACCTTTGACATGTGCCCGATTAGTTGCATACTTGTGTTTGTATGGTTTAATTGATGATGCATTTACGCAATTCCTTTTGAGATCTTTTGCACATTTGTTCTTGATAGATATAAAATTATTTAGAGCCTCTTGTTGGAATTTATTATTTCATTTTTTTATTTTTGATTGATGCCTAATTTTGGTTTGTGTTTGGATTGAACATGCATGAGGTTTTACCTAGTTTGAAACCATTTTGCCTACTTGTGTTTAAGTGAAACTTAAGATGATTTGCTGATGTGATAACATGCTGTCTTAACTTGTTTTGATCTTTGGATTCACTTTCATTTGGTTATTTTTCAATTTGTGGTTGAATTTCCAAGTTGATGATGTTTTGGCCTTGCTCCTTTGATGTTCTTGACCTAGATTCATGACATGTTTTCTTGTATGGTCTAATGGATGCTTGTGAACACTTATATTATTTGAATTATATGTTTGAGTGTTTTATTTTCATGATATGACATCCATTGTGTGATCTTTTCTCATCCCTTTCTTCACTTGATCTTTGGTTTTCTTTGAATGGGTGATGTGAGTGGTTTCTTGAGTACATCTTGAACATGATCTTTCTTGAATTTGGTTGATGTATTGGACATGTGAATACATCCTTGTTATTTTGACATGATGTTAATGTTTACCTTGTGTGATTGAGACCAATGCTTGCTTGATGCCTTTTGGGTTTGAACTTTCATGTTTGTTCATAATGTTGTATCTTCTTCATTCTTCTTCTTTCTTCTTCATCTTTCTTCTCCTCTTGAGACTTGCTTAAGTTTCAATTTTATTTTCATTTGTGATTGAATTGTGTGGTGTTTACTTGTACTTGTTCACATGATTCCTTAGGATTCATAATTCCACTTAATTTTTTATTAAGGTGGAAGTAGGAGAGACATTAGGCTTTTAATACTTTGCATGATAAGAATTAGGATATTCCCTCTTTGACCTCAACTTTAGGTTCATCATTTGTATGACAACATTAGGTAGACTTTTCCTTTTATCTCAATCTTAGGACCATTTTGTATGATAACATTAGGATCCAATTTCCCCTAGTGTTTTCTTTTCAAACTTTTGAGTCATCTCTTCTCATCTCAAAACAATTCTAAGACACTTAATAAAGACGATCAACATTGTGCGCCACGAGCCTTAAGCATATGGGAAATGATGAGTGAGGGGTCTCTCCTTACTTGTCTAGAGTGTTTAGTGTATGTCCCTTCTGAGGGGAATATGCGACGCATTCGTTCCTATATCGTAGTCTTTAGTACCACGTGAATCTCAAACCATTTAATTCACTTCACTAAAATCCACAAATAAATTTCAAACTTTTTATCCTTCGAGATTGTTCTTCAAACTCATTTTCAGAAAAGAGTGCGTTACTTTTCCGTTCTAGCGGAAACAGGCATCATCCCTAACTGCTGGAATGAGAACTTAACATCACTCATAAAAAACACTTAACCAACTTGTGGTTTACTTACCTGAACTACATTTTCTCTGATTTCTCATACCAGATGAGGATACGTAGGCACAAGACGGAGAAGTCTTGGCGAGCACCCTTTTTCCTTCTTACCCATAGTTTTCCGAACTACATTGACTCTGACTTTCCCATTGCACGAGGGAATACGTAGGCATAGGGCGGAAATGTCCTATCGAGTCTCCTTTTTCCTTTTCTTTTCCCGTTTTTGCTTCCGTTTAACAGTAGCTTTTAGATAACTCACCCTTTGATTAGACAACAAGCGTGGATCTCGTTGAGTACAACGGACGTGAGGGTGCTAATACCTTCCTCTTACGTAACCGACTTCCGAACCCAAGATTTGGTTGCAATGACCTTGTCTTTTCCTTTCTTTTAGGTTTTCTTCGATCGTTTCCTCTCCTTCATTTGCGATAAATAACGTTCGATGGCGACTCTTGTATTTGTTTTTGCCGATTGTTTTTTCGTAATTGTGACAAAGACCACGTGTTGGTCTTCCGTACGCCACGTAAGCCCTGGCAATTATTCGTATTGGGCCTAGCGATTCAATCCAATGCAAAGTAACAGTTGGCCCCGCGCTTGGGGCACATTATAAATACCCTCTTTCACTAGAGGGTCAGGTATTCCATTCGCAACTAGCTTTTTTGTACTTGCTTTCTCTTACCTTGTTTTTTACTTTGGCATCGGAGTACTTCGCAGGTACACCCCCTCCTCTTCTCCACAATCGGCGAATTCAGGAGCTCATGACATGTTACTGACCGCTGATCCTTTTTTGATCCGGTAAGATCATTCGGTATATCGAAAATTTAAAATTTCCGATAAATTTGTCCATTTTACGTAATTATTATATTTCCGGTATAACTTCACCGAAAATTTTGAAATATCTAATAAATAGCACCGAAAATTTTGAAATTTCCGATATGAACATCACTTGCAGGTCCTACCACAGTAAATTTTGAGAAACTTTTTAATATAATGATGAACTTTCACTACAAATAAAGAGGTGCCAGGTTAAATTCTCTAATAATGATTGAATATAAATCTAAAATAGGAAAATTCTTAAGTAGAAGCAACCATAGCATAATTATATACATAGTTAATCACAATTTTTTTATTAATTAAAAAATAAAAATAAAATGTTCTCTCCTTCATATCACAATCACCTCCATAATTCTAATTAAAAAATAAATTAAATTTTAAATAATTTTAAAATTTTCTCTTATTAAATGTTTCTAAGAATATAAGAATATAAATTTAAGTATGTTTCCATACAAATATTTCTTCTGAAACATCTTATTCGCTATACTTCATTTTATTTTATTTTTATTGTAAAAATTTGTTTCAACTAAAAAAGATTATTTTTTCAAATATCTACATTATTATAGTCATGTATTTTAGTTTTTGAATTATTGTAACTTAACACAATTTCCTATTTTTTTTAATTTTTATTGTAAAAATTTGTTTTGAATTGAATAATTTAATTCTCGAGTAATATATGACATACACGTACCGGTACTTTATTTTTTATTTTTTTAAATGTTGTATATTGTAAGTATCCTATGCATCATAGACGGTAGATCATGAATGTCTTAGAAATTTTTAGGAGAACAAGAGACATGTTTGAACTTCCACTACCTTGGTATAAAGATAGAGAAATAAATACAAATCCTTCATAAGTGAACTGTAGTAAAAAGGAAAATGAAGGTTGGAAATAATATGCCAGAATGAATAAAATTTCCTCTCCTTAAGCCACCTTAACATTGTTTTTGCGACGCATGAAGTTGACGAGAAAAGAGTCCACAATAATCTACAAGGAGTTTTGGGTTAGCATGAGAATCAAATAGTAGAAATAACTGTTGAAATAACAAATTATTAACCTGGATTAGATGTGTCGCAATACAAGGAAGAACCAGTAACCCAGATTCTCCAAATGCACCACAAAGTGGTTCTATAACTGCTACCATTACTGGTAATGTTTTCTGAAAGATATGAAAACATGATTTTTCGAGAGAATATCAAATGAAGTATAACTATTTTTTGAGATAAATAACTGATTGAGTTTTCACCTGACTTGCAACTAGTATGAGCGCGTTGGCATTTTCTTGGCGGGAAAAAGTTGATTTTTCACCACCAAAGATGATTGAAAGACTCTGAACAGCAATGCTGTTGAATATCAATAAGGTCAAATGAAGAAGTCTGCAATGCACCAAAAAAGTCAATGTAACTCCATGTATGCTAGATGTCCTTCAAAACAACAAATCAATATGCCTAACAGAAACACCCACATTAAAACAGAATTCAACATTTGCAGGCAATCAGAACATAGTTTGGAAAGAACTTGGCTCTTCTAAAGCAAGAAGATAATAAAGTGAACAAATCAAAAGTTGTTATTTCAACAAACTCATGATTTTCTATGACATGCCTCTAATATCAAACATTAATTACTTTAACAAGGATGATATTATTTATTTTTTAGACTTCAAAGTGAGCACCCACTTTAGAGTAGCCATGGTCGTACTTAAAAAGTGACAGCACCAGAGACACATAATCTGTTTTTAATTACTCAATTAATATTTCCAAAACAATCAATTAGTAAATTGAAAACTAATGAGAACAGATCGCAGATATCACATTAAGCTAACCAAAATATAAACAAAGTCAAGCATGTTGCACATACGCTCCGAGTCCAATGGCTACAAGAAAAACTTCGGGTTTCACGATTAACAACAGTGGCCTTGACTTGCTCACTTGTGTCCAAGGTACCTGCATGATAGTATTTGATTAGACCATAATTTTCATGTAATACCTTGATGATAGAATATTGAACCAAATAGAATGACTCAAACGCCACCCACCAAAACCTTGTCCCATTTCATAGACTTGGCTACATTGATCAAACACCATAATGATATCCTATTCTTAAAACTCATGTTTAATGACAGACCATTTAACTCATGTTTAATGAACAAACACAAACATGTGCACATGGATGTAGTTTATACAAAAAAATCTATTGATAGGTTCTTGTCTATATAGTTTATACAATATATGGGTATATAACTAAGGTATTATAAAACTCTGAAGGTCAAATCATGACAACAACAATCATTCCCAGAAACTGAGTTATTTATGTATCAATTTTAGATGGCTCGCTTTGTACAGGGTTTCATGAATAAATTAAAAGATGGCCCACTTTCTTCTCTACTTTGTGCCTTTAATACGTATTTGCATTTCAAAAAAAATAATCATCAGATAGAATATACCACTGGTGCAATGACATGATTAGTTTAAAGAAACTGCAAAAGCAACTCATTTGTTTCTTAACACATGATTCTATACTGTTGAAAATAGAAAAAATACGTTGTATGTTTCCCACTAAAATGAGCATTTAAGTCTTAGGTTCATGTATATTTAGACTTATGCATTTAGGAAGTTAGTCTATTATTTATTTCTCCTTATAAACATAATATGTAATTAATTATAGTGTGTATAAATATCATAGTTGCTAAGTGTTTTATTCACTAAGGGTCTGTTTGGTTCAAATGAGGGGGAGGGGAGGGGAGGGATTTTAATGAAGGGGAGGGGAGGGGAGGGGAGGTGAAGGAATTTTTTAATCAAATAAGTGTTTGGTTCAAAAGAGAGGAGGGGAGGGGAGGGGAGGGATTTTAATTAAAAATGTGTTTGGTTCAGAAGGGGAGGGGAGGGGTTTTATTAATAATTTACAGTTTTATCCTTATGATCTTATATAAGTCATACGATATTAAAATGTGAAAAATTCGTGCGTATTTTTGTTGGTAATAAAATTTCTAATATTGAGTGATTAAAAAAATATTTATTTGTCACATAAAGTTAAAAAATTGAGTATAATTGATTCGACTTATAACTTTCCAACATAAATTAAACTATATGCCAATAACATCGTTTAAATTATGATGAATCATATAACAAAACAAATATATAAAATAACTTATTACTAAATATTAATGGTTAAAAATATTTAATAAAATGAATAAACAAAAATAAATAAAATAATATGGTTTACAATTTGATATAAAAGAAAATATGATAGAGTACATAACAAAATTAAAAGAAAAAAACGAATATAACGAAACATAATTTTTTTATAAAAAAAAGACAATGATTATGATTTATATTAATTATAAAAATTATAAAATAATTTGAAGGTGGAGAACAATTATAATAATTTGATGAAAACAATCGAGAAAAAACAGTAATACAAAAGATAACAAATAGTTTTGAAATAATAAAATTAAACTGAAGATATTTTAGTAAATATAATAAATTTTAAATATTAAAACTCATATTCCCTCCCCTCCCTTCCAAATCCCCCCAATTCGGAGGGAACCAAAAAATGTGTTTTGGAGGGATTTTGCTCCCCTCCCCTCCCCTCCCCTCCCCTCCTAAAATTTGAACCAAACATATTTAATTAAAAATTTCCCCTCCCCTCCCCTCCCCTCCCCTCCATCTACCCCGAACCAAACACACCCTAAAGCACATTCAGAAAATTTCTTATTTCTAGAGCTCCTAATCTAAGGGACTTTACTTCTGCTAATCATTATTTAGAGATCTGACTGGGCATTTTTATGCTGTCAGAACCCTTAAATCTTGACTGGGCAACACTTGCTGTCAAGTTCTTCCAATTAAATACTGTTTGTTCTTTCTACCCTCCATTTGCACAATTTCGTACTTCTTTCAGTAGCTGTCTGTCTAGCCGCTGTCTTTATACTTTCCGGAAGCCGTTCGTACAGTTTTTTGCCACCATCGATACATCACTGCACATTTTTCAGCGGCCGTGTACATAGTACCAGACAATGTCCCTACATTTTCAGAGTTAGATTTTTTTTTATCAAATCTTGTTTTCTTTGATATCTTATAAATAAATATTTGGTGGTTGCTTCTATTACCTTTATGACCAATATCATGGAAAGATCATCAGGTAATTGTAGTGTGGCGTATTCTGGTAATCTTCCACTCATTTGGATTTCATGTCTCAGAAACACCTTGCTTATTTTGGATATTAGATTCAAGAGTCACAGACCACATGACACCCTCTTCGAAACAGTTCTCCACATATTCCCCTTGTCCCAGTAATAAAAAAATTTCTACTGCATATGGTACTTTTGTAACTGTAGCTGGCATTGGAGATATCCAAATAAATCATTCTATAACCCTAAAAAGTGTCCTCCATCTTCCAAACCATGCTCGAGGTGATTTGTTTTAGTCCATATAACGCATTTTTCAACCTGCAAACTGTATTGTCAGACACATTTTTTTCATACCCCGGTGGTACCTGCATATAAATCTCTTCTTCAAGTTCCCCTTGTAAGAAGGCATTCTTCACATCAAATTGTTGTAAATCCCAACCATAATTGGCAGCAAGTGACAAAACTACTCTCACTGTATTCATCTTCGCAACCGGAGCAAATGTCTCTGAATAGTCAATTGCATAGGTTTGTGTAAACCCTTTGACAACCAACCTGGCTTTATATCTTTCGATTGATCCATCAGCCTTATGTTTTACTGTGTACACCTATTTGCATCCAACCGGCCTCTTCTGGTAAAGTCACTAACTTCCAAGCTCTATTAGACCAAACCCGAGCATTGTTGTTTCATCAAAATGTTCCAAAATATTTATGGGGGAAGGCCGTTCTCACTAGCACATATATTATCAACCGATTACCTTTTAGAGTATTAGGGTTCAAGAGTCATATGGATGTTCTTTCTTCCTTCTATCCAAATTTGTTAGTAAGTAGTAATCTTAAACCTAGAATCTTTGGGTGTGTCTCATTTGTCCATGTGCATAGTCAAGACAAAAGAAAACTTGACCCTAGAGCCCTAAGATGTGTTTTTGTCGGGTATTCCTCTATTCAAAAGGGATATAAGTTTTTCCGTCCTCCATCTAAAAAGTTTTTTGTTTCGCGGGATGTTACCTTTCATGAGGAGGAACCGTACTTCACTCAACCTTATCTTCACAAGGAGAATTTTAAGGAAGATAAACTTGAAAGTCTCGATCTTTCTGGTCTTGAGTCAAATACACTCAATATATCTAGTATTAAGTCAAATGCATCTGGTCATTCTGGTCATGACTCAAATACACTCGATCTCTCTCATTCTGGTCATGACTCAAACACACTCAATCTCTCTGGTCTCAAGTCAAATCCACCTAATTCTTCCAGTTTCGAGTCAAATAGGTCCAATCTTTTTGGTCTTGAGTTAAACACACGTGTACCAGACTCATCTGAGGCTGAAGAAGTAAGAGTTGAGTCAAATCAATCAAATACACCCGTAGCTAAACTTGGACTTGAAGTGGATGTAGGATATGAAAAGAATTTGGTTTACATGAGAAAGTCAAAGGTCATTCCTGAATCGACACAAGTTCAAGAGTCTGACTTGACTCTTTCAAATGAGGTAATTAGTTCTTCTGAATTACAAGATAAAATAATGACCCAAACTACAGATGATGACCTAGAACTTCCGATTACGATTAGAAAAGGTACTAGAAAATGTACCAAACAGCCTTTATATCCCTTTTCAAACTATCTTTCTTTTCAAAAATTCTCACCTACCCATAGAGTCTTCCTTATAAACTTAAACGCTACTTCCATACCCACTAATGTTTCTGAGGCATTGTCCGATGAAAATGGAAGCAAACCATGAATATTGTGATGGACGCATTGAAGAAGAATGGAACTTGGGAGTAAGTGACTTTACCAGAAGGAAAGAGACCAGTTGGATGCAAATGGGTGTACACAGTAAAATATAAGGCTGATGGATCAATCGAAAGAAATAAAGTTAGGTTGGTTCCCAAAGGGTTTACATAAACCTATGGAATTGACTATTCGGAGACATTTGCTCCGGTTGCGAAGATGAATACAGTGAGAGTAATTGTCACCTGCTGCCAATTATGGTTGAAATTTACAACAATTTGATGTGAAGAATGCCTTCTTACACGAGAAACTTGAAGAGCAGATTTATATGCAGGTACCATCGGGGTATGAAAAAAATGTATCTGACAATACAGTTTGCAGGTTGAAAAAGACGTTATATGGACTAAAACAATCACCTCAAGCATGGTTTGGAAGATTCACTAAGGTTATGACATCTCTAGGGTACAAGCAAAGTCAAGGGGATCACACCTTGTTCATTAGACACTCCCCGCAAGAGGGAGTAACAGTTCTGTTAGTATATGTAGATGACATTATAATGACAGAAGATGATTGGAAGGAGCAACAAATCTTAAGTCATTGTTTGCCTAAGGAGTTTGAAATAAAAAGTCTTAGAAAGCTAAAGTACTTCTAGGGAATTGAGGTGGCACATTCCCGAAAAGACATTTTTATATCTCAACAAAAATACATTACAGATTTACTTAAAGAGACAAGAAAAACAGCGTGTAAACCTAGGAGCGTTCCTATGGATCCAAATCTTAAACTGGATAATACAGAAGATGTTGCAGTAGATAAAGAAATGTATCAACGTCTAGTGGGGAGATTAATTTACTTGTCCCACACTAGACCCGATATTGCATATGTTGTAAGTATGGTTAGTGTTGGAAAATATTTTATTTCCATATTTAAATGTTTACGTTTATTATCATTTATTTTCTTTTATTCTCCATTAAGGAGATAATTAAGTATTTTTATTGTATTCTCATTATATAAACCAGCCTTTGACTGAGGAATAAAATTACAACAGCTTTTATCTATTTATTCCAATATGGTATCGAGAGCTCTAGGTTAGAGTTA